AAAAAGTCTTAAATTTGAGCTTTAAAAATCCTGCAGAAACCCTGTATTATTGGTATTTTGGTTATGCAATAAATTGTATCTGGTATTTAATTCAACGGAAGCTCTTGTGGCTTCTCTCTTTTTTTCTCGCTGCTCTGTCACAGGAAGTAAAGACTAAGAACATTATTTAACACATTTAGTATTTATATTTTGGTAGTGTGGGCACTGATCTTTTTATTGCCTTTCTTTAACCACATTATTCACACATCGGCAAAATCCAAAACCTATAGCTGTAATGCTACTTCTAATGCTATTTTTTATTTCCAGCATATTTTTAACATGAAAAAATCAACATGGAGAGTGTGCAAAATTTGCAGTAATTGTTTATGATTCATTGAACAAGTATAGAAAACATTATTTAAAGCCAAATTGCTGCTTAAAAATAGGCCAAAACTAGACTCTCCCACGGCAACAGTGTAAAAGTAGCCAAATTCTGTGGTAAAAGTACAGACTTGGCAACACTGACCCTTTCCAATAAATATCTGTAAAGCTTATATGGATTTTTACTAAATTATCTTTGATCAAATTCAAGTACAACAATGTTTCTTTTTTTTCCTGAGTTTATGTATATATTGAATAAGAAACATGTCTTACTTTAAACATACCCATGCTCCAGCCTAATTAAGTAAAATAACCTGAATATCATGATTTATTTTTAGATGGGGTTTTTTTTCTGTATGGACCTATGGTGTTAATTTTATTTGTGCATAAAAGAAGTCTTAAATTTGATTTTAGAAACTGAGGGGACTGCACCTGCCTCTGTTTTCTTCACTGATGATACTAAACTGCTATGAAGTCACAGAACAAGATTTTACTGCGTTAAAGGTTTTAAGGAGTTGCATTATTAACTAGACAAACTCATTCACTACCTTAGAGTGTTTTTCTTTTCTTCTCATCTTGCACAGTTTGCAAAACACGGGTTGCTCACGGAACTAACTCTCATGAGGTAAGAGACTTTTCTAACTGCTTTTGCGAAATGTGACCACAGAGGTCACGAAACGCTAATACACACAAAGCATTGTTTCAAAACCCAGTGAGCTGCCTACATAGGCAGCTTCCTTTGAAGTCGGCATTCTAAGTTAAATTGAACCTCAGAAGTAGCTAAGGAAAGTTCAGCTCTACACCTAAGATTTGGTTAGCATCCGCTTGATATGCACAAAAAGTTCTTTATAGTGAAAATATTCTTCAGATTATTAAAATGTTCTTCATACTAAGAAAAAAAACGTCTCTTTTAAGAACTGTTCACTCAGATGTTCTTTGTGGAACCCAAAATGATGGTTCTGTGGAATTAGTGTAAGTTCAAGTTTTCTGTCTCTTCTCACTGTGTTCCTTTGCAGATGGCTATAATATTCAACGCAGAGGACCTAAAGGATGTGAAGCCACCGTGTGTCATTCAGAGTTTTATAAACCACAATGCTGTGCTCTATAAAGTGTTCGTGGTGGGTGAGTCGCACACTGTGGTGGAGAGACCATCACTCAAGAACTTCCCCTCTGGACCGTCTGGTAAACCTTCAGCCCACACTTCAGCTCTTTATAAATGTTAATTCCATGAAATGGAAATCCTGCTGCGATATGGTTCGTTTCACCGCGATTGGACCGTTCAGTTTGTTTAGGCGTGATTTACGTTACAGCATTCCCGCTGTATAACCCAGATGCCTTTGCATAGCTGACTTTGCAGTGAAAAGAGTCGATCAAATTTTGCTGCTACCCAGTCAGCAGAAGCGCTTACCCGAGTCTGGGTTCCACTGAGGGCTGCTGTAAAGTACGGTGCGTTTGCATATGCTAATGTACTTGGAGTCCATGCAAACCATTTACGGTTACTGGGAGAGCGACCTGTTAGTTTAATGCAAATTCAGGAAGTCAGCTCTGTGCCTGAACTCATGCTGAACTCCACAAAGCACAAGTACACATGCCTTGGCTTCCAGCAGTATTCAAATGAAAAAAACCTGTTTAGAAGATTAAAACAAAGAAAAAAAAGGGAGTTGCAGTGTTTCTAAAGACAGATCAGGCTGGTAATGATTTCGAAGAATTCTACGAAGACGTGAAGAAAAAGGCTGATGAATTTCTTAAGCAGGCTTGTGAAGTTCTTCAGTAAGATTTAGGAAATCAGAGTTAATGCTGCGGTACTTTTCAGTTTTTTTAGGTTAATAATAATAATGATAATAATAATGTGGAATATCACACGTATGTGTGTAGATGAACTATACATACATACATATATATATATATATATATATATGTGTGTGT